CTTGTGACAGCTTGGGGGCTGAAAAGTCTTAGTGTAGCCCCCGTGATTATATAGCTCACTCCCACAACAGATCACGCCGACTAAATCTCTTGACCTATAGTGAGTGGCACAAGAGACATGCTTGAAGACAGTTGACACCAGTGGAATTCCCCACTAGCCCCCAATCAACTTAATAGAAGCAGGGCAGGAATGTCCTTCCTTTTTGGAGGTAACTTAGATCTTTAGGATGGGTTTTCACAAGTGCTCAGCATAGCCCTAACTTTGCTTCCACTGAAGTGAATGGGAGTTTTACTTTGACTTTGATCGAACAGAATGTAGGGCAATGCTGAGCACTTTTGGGAATCCCAGCTCAAATCCATAGGGCATCTAGCTGCTAGCATTCCTAAAGAGATCTGGTGTCTTTGTGTGGAGTGAACAGAAAGGGGAGCAGGCTGAGTAAGGATGATGATAAATGGTGCCCAGTCCTTTCACAAACATCCGCTCCCTTTGCATGGGGATGTTTCTATTGTCTTTTCATTACAATTGCATGAGAAACAGAAAGGAGGAAGAGGAGGAAGAATCTACAAGAAATGCTAATGGATTGTAGCCTAAGCCCCAGCTTCAGTGTTCATGGCACCTTTGTCATGGTGTTATGTTGTGTCCCAGATCTCTGGATAATCCGCAACGAGAGACTTTCAAATTGAGCAGTAGTCTGCATCTCTTCAGCAGGAGGATTTGTGGCTTTATGAATGAGTTGTATGGCAAAATATAACCCAAAGCAGAAGACTTGGCGACTCCCAAGTCCTGTCCTCACCCGCAGTGGGCGCTGTGCAGGCTGGGAGAGGACTTGGCACCTAAAAAGGATTCTTTGGGGACTTGTGTTTCCTTTGGTGGTTCTAGAGTAGGGGTGGGCAAACTTTTTGGCCCAAGGGCCACATCTGGATATGGAAATTGTATGGCGGACCATGAATGCTCACGAAATTGGTGGTTGGGCTGTAGGAGGGGGTGAGGGCTCCGGCTGGGGGTGAGAGCTCTGGGGTGGGGCCAAAAATGAGTTCAGGGTGCAGGAGGGGCTCCGGGATGGGGCTAAGGATGAGGGGTTGGGGTGCAGGAGAGTGAACCCCTTGGTCCCAGCCCAGAGCAGAGGGCGGAAGAGTGCTCCGGGCTGGGGCAGGGGGTTGCGGCACGGGAGGGGATCAGGGGTGCAGGCTAGGAGCGGCACTTACCTCAAGCAGCTCCCAGAAGCAGCAGCATGTCCCTCCTCCGCCTCCTACGTGGAGGTGCGGCCAGGTGGCTCAGCATGCTGCCCTGTCTGCAGGCACCGCATCTGCAGCTCCCGTTGGTCGTGGTTCTCAGCCAATGGAAGCTGCGGGGTGGCGCTTAGGGTGGGGGCAGCATGTGGAGCCCCCTGGCTGCCCCACATGCCGCTGCTTCTGGGAGCCACAGCACACACAGAGTGGGGCAAGCTCCCGACCCCATTCCCCAGCGGGAGCTTGAGGGCAGGATTAAAACGTCTGAAAGGCTGGATGCAGCCCTTGGGCCATAGTTTGTCCACCCCTGTTCTAGAGTCCTGGCCAAGAATCTAAAGGAGGGGCAGGAGGAGGAGACATTACAGGTGCTTTTTGCTTGATTGACCTTAGAATGTTTGTTACTGCTTGCATCCACCTTTCTGCTTGTAACCCCCTCTCCCTGCTTTATGTGCTTGGCCCATGGCTACCACCTGCCACTGTGGCTTCAGAGTTTTCCAAGATGTCTGAGTGGCGAAGAAGTCCAGCGAAGTGAACATTAGGAAGGATTTGGCAGCCCGGCAATCCCCTTAAGATTCTCTGGCACGCATGCTGCATGATGCCTGACAGGTAAGTGGATCATCTCCTCCCTTTTGGCCTGAGCAGCTTCAGTTACTTTGTGTGCTTGTCATTTTCAGACTACAAGAAATTGCTTTAATTCTTCCACAGTCTCAACAGTGCCCATGTCCAAGCATCTTGGGGCTGCTTCTGAATCACTCAGTTCTGCACCTTCTGTTGTTTGTTTGAATCTGTCTGTCTCTCTCCCCTCATGATGAGGCCAGTGGATTTTGTTTCTTAAGGCATCAATAACAGAATGAGGAGGAAGCGATGTCGAACTCAGATACCTCCCCATCTCCCTTCAATCTATTTATCTTCCACTAGGGTCAGATAGTGAATGATATTAATATAAGCAGCGATTAAAGACCTGATGTGCACAGTTCAAACATCCTGTCGTTATCTGGACATGTGCACTTGATTGAAAAATAAACACCCAACACACACAAACATGTATAGTGTTTTACTGGTTAATTTCACATCCCTACAGTATATTTTTTCAAGTGCTACAGTTTATTTCTACATTCTCCCCCCAGCCATAAAACTCGGCCTATTTTGAATTCTGCTTCCGGCTGGTGGCTGGGTCTTGTTAACTGTAAACAAATTTACCTTAAACTGAGGTGGTCTGATGTTAACAAAGTGTGATCATCCAGGGTAACTATTTTTTCCTTCTCTAGCACCTCCTGCTTGAAGCATTTTGCAGACTTTACGCTTGGCAGCAGTGCCTGAGAGCAGTGAGTGTTTACCCCCATTTTACATATGGTTTGAGCTATAAAGCCCTACATGCTTTGCATCTGCCTACGTCAAAGACACTCCCCCCTCACCCCACCCCTCTTTCTCCTTGCAGTGCTGCCACAGCTGAGCTCAGAGATGCTTAAGCTGAAGCCCCCAGTGGCACACATGAGAAGGGGTTGCTTCCAGGGCATCCTCTGGAGGCCCCTCAACTTTGGAATTCGTTCCCCAAACCAGTCAGCGTCTGAGGTCCTTCAGGGTACGCTGCACAGTTCATCTCTTTTCACAGGCATTTGCAAATGTGGAATTGTG